TGGCTTGCTTTAAAGGTCCTGACAAACATCCACTTTATTACCAGAGGATATTTTAGGCGCTGCAGGTAATTTTCTTTAAAGCATGATTTAGCAGCTCTACTGGTCTGAGCTGACTTGTGTAGAAAGAAATGTGTTCCAGAGGAAATGGTAGCGCTGGATCTCTGGGAATTCTTGACTCTTTGAGGCACACACTCTCCTTCTCTCAGTCCCTCTCCCTTTTTGTGGCATTTTCTTTAACATCGTCCCTTTTCTCAGAGCCACTTAGTAGCTATGAAGCAAACGCCTACTTAATTTTAATTTAAGATAAGGTCTGAGACTTTTCCCTTAAGCCTTGCAGATGTTTACAGGAGCAGAAAGCTGTCAACCTTTCTGATATGGCTTGAAAGACGATATTCTTTCTTGTAATGCTTGTTGCAATAGCTAGTTTTCCAATTCTACACACATGGATTTAATCAGTTAGGTCTAATGAGTTTCTGCCCTTCCTTTATTTTTTTAAAGATTTTATTTATTTATTTGACAGAGAGAGGCACAATGAGAGAGGGAACACAAGCAGGGGGAGTGGGAGAGGGAGCAGCAGGCTTCCCGTGGAGCAGGGAGCCCGATGCAGGGCTCGATCCCAGGATCCTGGGATCGTGACCTGAGCTGAAGGCAGATGCTCAACGACTGAGCCACCCAGGCGCCCCTCTGCCCTTCCTTTAAAGCATTAGTTCAACCAAGGCAATTTTGTCCCCCCAGAGAATATTTGGCAAGGTCTGGAGACATTTTTGGTTGTCACATCGAAGGGCAGGACTATAGGCATCCAGTGGACAGAGGCCAGGGATGCTGCTAAACATCCCACAATGCACAGGACCGCTCCCACCACAAAGACATTATCCGGTCTAAAATGTCGAGGTTTCTAAACCTGGCTGCCCATGAGAATCACTTGTGGGCTTTAAAATTCTAATGCTCAGTTGCTCTCTAGACCAAATAGAATAGAGTCATTGGCTAGGACTGGCTATGAAATTGCAGCCCAGTGCAAAATGAAAACGCGAGGACCCTTACTCAAAAATTAGTAAGAATTTTAAGATGATGACAGTAGAGCATTAGACTAAGGGCAGGGCTTTCTGAGTGTTGGGGACCTGTGTGCCCACACAGATCTTCCACACATGAAGCTGACGGCGTTCTGGGGGATGACCTGGGCATTGGTAGTTTTAAAAGCTCTCAAAGCGGGCCAACAACTTTAAGGGACACCTCGCTAAACAAAATATACAGATGGCAAGTGAGCATATGCAAAGATGTTCCACATCACATATTATCGAGGAAATGAAAATAATAATGAGATACCACGGTACACCTATGAGAATGGCCAAAATCCAGAATGCTGACAGCATCAAATGCTGGTGAGGATGTGCAGTAATAGGAACTCTGACTCATTGCTGTTGGGAATGCAAGAATGTACAGCCACTTTGGAAGACAGTTGGGCAGTTTCTTACAAAACTAAACACTCTTACCATATATCCAGCAATCATGCTCCCTGCTGTCTATCTAAAAATGTTTAAAACCTACATCACATAAAAATCTGCACACAGATGTTTATAGCAGCTTCATTCATAATTGCCAAAACTTGGAAGCAACCAAAATGTTTTTTGTAGGTGAATGGACAAATAAACCCTGGTACATCAACGGAATATTACTTAGTCAATGGAATATTATTCACTATTATAAAGAAATGAGCAATTGAGCTGTGAAAAGACAGGGAAGAGCCTTGAACTTATATATTACTAAGTGAAAGAAGCCAATCTGAAAAGGCTACATACTGTATCATTCCAACCATATGACATTCTGGAAAAGATAGAACTATGGAGACAGTAAAAAGATCAGTTGTTGCTTGGGGTTGCAGCATGGAGGACTTTTAGGGCAGTGAAACTGCTCTGTATCATGTAATAATGGTGGACACACGTCGTTATACATTTGTCCAAATCCATACAATGTACAACACCAAGATGGTAATGTCAACTAGGGACTTTGGATAATCATGATGTGTCAATGTAGGCTCATCAATTGTAACAAATATGCCATTCTGGTGGGAGATGTTGATAATGGGGGAGACTATGCATGTGTGGGGGCAGGGAATATATGGGAAATCTTGGTACCTTCCGCTTAATTTTGTGGAGGAAAAAAAACTCTAAAAAATAAAGTCAATTAAAAAACCAAACCCTCCAGGTGACTTCAGTGTGCAGCCAGTGCTGAGAGCACGGTTCTCCGTCATTTATCATCTATCTCCTTCCCCGAACATTCAGTGTGTGTGTATGTACTGGCCCATGTGTGACTCATCTTTGTATCTGGATACAGAGCCTCACAATTAGATGATCAATGAACATGGCCTTTATCATCCATTCTAAACTTATATGTGTACAGGTCACCCTGGCTTCCCAGCAGGCTTTGGCATTCATACTCTTGTTTGCTCTTCGCATCAGTCCCGTGGTTGCAGAGCAGGTGTGAGGACACTAGTCTGAGATGAGGAAACCGGTGTAGAGAGAGTAAGTGACTGGCCCAAGTCACACCCCTGTGAGGGGCCGGGCAAAGCCTCCAACCAAGTCTCCTGGTTTTCAGGTCAGGGCCGCTTCCTGCGTGTTACAGAATCCCCCTCACTTTTATTCCGGGTTTCCAAAGTGTGGCACAAAAGTGCCATTTGGTGGCATGTGGCAGGAAAGCCAGTGGCGCTGTGTAAGCTTTAAAACAAAACCTGTTTATTTACTTCTTTGAATATGTGTTAGGAAAAAAAAAAACAGTGAGCATGTCAAGTCCATGGCTTGTATTACTGCTGCAGAAATGGTTACATGCAAATTTTTAAAGTGAGTTGATTTAAAGAAAAATATTAATCAAATAATAGCAGAGCGTGCTGCAGGTGTGGAGCGACGACAAAGCTGTGAATTACCTACGCAAATGACTGAAATGCGAGAAACGCTGTTTCAAATCTTTGTAGTTTATAATGAGAATAGAGTGAAATCGTGTGAAAGAGCTTTGTAATCATAGACAAAGCAGTCAAATTACGATTGTGGCTTTTGCACCCCGGCTCCTTGAAATTTGCCCCTGGTGTATCCTCCCGGTGTATCCTGCCATTTTTCTCCAGACTAAGTCTTGGCCTATTACCGTGCTGGGAGAGGTACGGAGTGCTTGACCATGAACATCAGGTGAGAGTGTGTGGTTGAAAAAAAAGGAGAAAAATATGTAAACTGAAATCTGTAGTTCCTTTCTTTGGGTCGCTTTGTTTTCATAGTTATTATAGATCTATCACATTCTAAGATGAGTTCCCAGTTTGGAACCAAGTGATTTGGAATTTTATAACAATAACAAGTCCCTTCTCTGTCCAGGGTATATTCAAAGTACGGTCTTTCATGTTCATGCAGTGGAACTCTTTGCCTCCTAAATATGATGAAGGACATATCTTCGTTGACACATACAGATAATGTGTTAAGTGATAGAAATTGGGTTTCCAAAGAGTAGCATAGGACATATTTATATAAGAAAGAAAAAGAGAAGGACGCATTGCTGAAAGGATTGACCCCTGGGTGATGGGAATGGGTTCATTTCTTTTACTTTTAGCTTCTCTGCCACTTCTCATTTTTCTATGATGGGCCTAGGTTTCAAACTCAAGGAATAATAAGTAAACTTTAAACAGGCCTATATGTGGGGCGCCTGGGTGGCTCAGTTGGTTAAGCGACTGCTTTCGGCTCGGGTCATGATCCCAGAGTCGTGGGATCAAGTCCCGCATCCGGCTCCCTGCTCAGCGGGGAGTCTGCTTCTCCCTCTGATCCTCTTCCCTTTTCTTCTCTCTGTCTCTCACTCTCTCTCTCAAATAAATAAATAAAATCTTTAAAAAAAATAAATAAACAGGCCTGTATGCAAAATGTACTTAATTCTGCTACGGTCAAACTCTACTTCTCTGGTGCCCTCAGGTACATGATTTGTAGGTATAACGAGATGCGGATTTCATGCATAAGGCATTGTGGCTGGAGCCAAGAACAGGAGGCAAGGTGAGTGAAACTCTGGATATGAAAAGATCTTCTAAAGCCTGAAGTCTTGTGCCCACGAAAGGGATTTTTAGCTGAACTGGGAGAGTGAAGGACAGGTCAGGGCACTGAGCAGCAAGGCCCTCATTTACTGCTGGTGGTTGGGAGAGGTTGGGGCCGGGGAAGGACTGGTGGGGGGGAGTTGTCAGCATCCTACTGAATTACATCCCAGCTAATTTCATGGCCACTCCAGAGAAGCCTGGCTTTTCCCAGAACCCACCTTGCCTTGCCTGGGTTTTAGGATGGAGATCTTTGTGAAAATATCACAGAAGCATCTTTGATTTGTGGTTTGGGGTGCGTGTATTTGCTTTCTCACCCTCTCTCCTGTTTATTTCTGCAGAATCACATCTTACTTAATTCTCTGGTTATGTTTTTCAACGGCACATTCTACTTTCTGAAGGTTGTCAGAGGTTGTAAATCCCCTGAGCTGGAAATCATTTTGAGAGGAGTTTCATGGAGGGGGGGGGCAGGGGGCTTTTTTTTCCCCAGTGATTTTTTTTTTTTTAAGCTTCAAGCAATAGATTGAAAATATGCATTCATTTGCATAAACAAAGGATTGGGAAGATACCCATGGGCTGCTGACAGAATTGATTTCTGAGAAGGAGGCCTGTAGCTGGATGGGGATAAAGGATGTTTTCCTTTCATCTGTGTATTTCAAGTATTGTTTTCCAAAAAAGTTATTTGCCTCTTACTTATATTACCTGTACTCTATATACATAAAAATGCATACAATAAAACCTGAAGCAAATACAGCAGACTTAGATATTTACATTGAGAGTCTGAGAGTCTCTCCGCTTGTGTATGTGTATGTGGTGGGTGGGAGGTGTGCAGGAATATAGTAAAGGAAAAAGTTAGCTCAGATTTTTTGTTGTCTTAATATAGAGACTGAAAAAAAATATCAAAGCACCGACACTCTGGTTGTGTGGTTGCAAATCAGAACACACTCACCTGCGAAAGCCTGTCATCCTCTGAGGCATCCTTATACCACTGCAAATACCCGACGTCACTGCGGGTCAGGACTCCATGTAATATTTCTTGCGACTTTCCCTTCTGATAGCCATTAAAGACATTTGGACTTGCTCTTCCAGTTAGAATCATGTTCAAAACTGCCTAGATGATATAGTTTACAAATGTTTACATTTTAGGTAGCAATGACAGAAGGACTTAATTTCTTTTTTCTTTTAATAATCACTGAAAAATTACCAGTTTTACTTAAAAGAATGAAATGACATAATATCTAATTCGGGAAAAACAGGTCATCAACATTTGGTAGGGTTAACACAGAACTTGAGTGACTTTGTTTCTTGAGCCAATATCCCATAGATCCTCACGTGCCCCACTCAGATCTTATTGCCCTTCTTCCCTTTCCATTTCGTTTAAACTCTGCTTTTCCGTAGTTGTGATTTTAGTACGCTCAGCTGTTATTATAGTACTTTTCTTTCCCTTACTGGGGATTCCTGGTGGGTCTTGTCAGGGTATTTTCTAACGGGTCTGTAGAATTGCAGGGAGATGTGGGGCTCTCAGAGGTAAACTGGGAAGACCGTGGTGGAAGTTGGAAGGTAGACTCTGATAACAAACTCAGGGGAGCATCTTCTTAGTCTTTCAAAGATAACTTGATCACTCTTCACTTCAGGAGAGAATATGCTTAATTGAAAAGAAAAAAAAAAGCCTAATTCAGATTCTACAATAGAAAGGCAAAGTCTCCCAACCTACCTGCCTGCACAGGAAGCCCCCAGCACTTGGTTGTAACAGATGAGTGGTGGAGGCATCTAGGTCCTTCTGAAGCCTGCAGAATGCGAGACGCCATCAGCCTTCAGTCAGAGACAATGACTGCACCAGGAACCTGCAGCCTATCCTTCCTCCGCCTCCCAACACAGAGCAGCAGTTGAGTGGGTTTGCTTAGTCACTGTCCCTCCCGTGTGCCTTGCACCTTTTTGTCTCTCACCAGAAGAGTCTCTGGGATGGAGGCTGCAGAGGTGGTGGGAAAAGCTAGGAATACAATTGGGGGAAGCTGCTGATAAGGGAGAAGCCTGAAGTGACAGACTCACATGTGTGCTCTGTGTGGGTGCCAGGCACAGTGGAGAAACTATTTGCTCCGAGTGACAAGGGACGCTTGGCTTAGGGCAGTGACACATGACCACTCCGGGGAGTGCTGGCCCAAGACTGAGTTGAACAGACTGTTCAAGTGGAAAATACCAGTTTGGGGGTGAAGCCCATTTCCTGACTGCAGAAGGGCAACCTCTACTGTTTCACCGGGAAGCAGGCCTCGCAGTCCTACCCTGGACCATGTGAAGTCAAAGTGGAATGGGGCTCCAGGTCTCACCCAGGGAGAGGTGCTGAGTACTGGTGTGTGAGCTGTAATGTGTTCTTGAAGGTACCTATTCGCAGGACTGGAGGTCATGCCCTTCTGTGAATAGGAACCAAAAACTTGGGTCAAGCGCGATGAGTGCCTTGGTGGCATCAGATATAATTCAGGGCAGCGTTGCCCAAAGTGTGGCATGATTTAAAAAAAAAATTTATAGTGATGTGCTTAATACATTTTTCTTTAGTACAACAAATACATGATTAAAAGGATATGGATGTTTAGGAAGAAGTTAATATGTAAATATGTGTTGATTTAAAGAAAACTGTTAGGCAAAGAATAACACAGACCACAAAAATGTGGTGACGTTCTGCAAAAGACAAGTGTTAGGAACACTGCTTCCGGGCTTGTAACTCTTCCTTCCTAGAGGCTCTCTATCTCTCTCTGACTCTCAAGAGTTTACCTTCCTTTCGGAGCCCAGAAGTTCTTCTAAGAAGCCTTCCTTGACTAGTCTGTCTGCTGGGGACCCTTCCTCCTCTGGAATCCCCTAAGATTCCTTGTCTTTATGCCTCATTTGGTACATGAAATACCACCCGCACCATGCCTGGTATCTCTGTGTATAACTCCTGTCTTTCCCAGACTGGACCCTGCAGGTCAGGCCATCTCTTCTTTTATTTGTATTTCCCATGGTGCCAAGAACAGGGCTTTGCATATCATAGAAACAAAATAAATATCTGTGGATATATCTTATTGTGCACATAAATAATAAAATGTTTTTTTATTATGAAAATCACACAAAGAAGCTTTGGTGTTAACTGTCGATATTTATAAGCACCAGGAGAAGGAAGCCACCACCGTCCTAGAAAAGCAGATTCAGACCTTCCTGATGACATCCACTCACCCATCAGTGTGGCCAAACCGACTACAGAAAAGGATGAATCAACAGAAGAGCATCGACTAGAAAAAAAAATGTACTCCTGTTCCCAATAGGGCATGAAAATATTTTCCAACACAAAAATACATCGCTTATGTGATCACAGAGCTACAGGAAATGCCCGTGCAAATATTTGTTGAATTTACCTTTCAAATGTTCTGGAGAAGATGAGGCTGTAAAGAAACAAGATGACACCGTGGCTTCCTTCCCCTTTGAACTGTTTGGGGGGACAAAAATAAAAAGCATGTTTGGCTAAAAGCAATGCAGCTATGGATATCTCTTGGCATTAATTCAAGGGTTTATAGCCCAAGAAGCTAGAAAAGCTGCCGATAGGACAGTTTTCCAGAGTCATCTTCACTCTCAAATGCATCCTTCATTGTTTCAGGTCTGCCCGTGGTACTGTCCTTCTCTTGCCTTTTGAACCCCTTTTCCTTCCTCCATTTCTCTCACATGGCTGTCTTTGAATCATGGCTAAGATGTAGTGTAATTTTCCTCTCCATTTTTCCGGCGTCCATCCTAGCCCAGGCCCTCTGTGTGCTCTTGGCTGGCCCGCTTCCCAGCCTCTCCTCGGTTGGGGCATCCCTCTCTCCTGGTTGCCCCAGGGCAGCAGAGATGCTCTGTGGAAATAGCTTTGGAGTTCTACAGATCTAGGTTCAAAGCCAGTTCTACTCTTACTCTCAGTTACTGACTTGCTTGAGTTTCAATTTCCTCATCTGCAGTTGCAGATAAACTGCAGGTCTGTTGCAAAAGTTAAATGACATCATGCACAGTACCTGCCTTAGCGCTTGGAACGTGCTAGAATCACAGCACAATTAGTATCTGTCCCTCTTTAAGGCACTTCTCCCCTGTCTTTTCTCTTGCCCATGTTATTTTTTTCTGCTCACGATTTTCCAAAGGTGCCCTGTGATCTCCAGGATCCAATCCAAATTGCCCAAGCAACATTCAGGTAGTAGGCCTTAGCTTTATGTCAATTCTCTGCCTGCTGAAAAGTGCTCCTTGGCTGGCTTTCAAGGTTCCCGGGGTTAAAGCCTCTCCTTTAAAGGCACTATATCAGGAAGGCTTCTGCTAAAATGCAGGTGCTTTCCCTTTTATGGATTAATTTGTCCCCTTCCCGCGCTGTGACCTGGCAGAGGCAGGACCCTCAGGCAGGACAAACTCGTGTGTGGGAGCCAGGCAGGAACCCAAATGGGTGTCCTGCGGAGTGTGAGAGAAACGGGGTGGCAGGGGGGGGTAGTGTAGGTGGGCCCTGAGGCAAACTGGGGATGCTGGCGTATTAGTTTCCTATTGCTTCCTATTACTCCCGGGACAAATGACCACAGACTTGGTGGCGTAAAACAACACAAATCCATTGTCTTATAGTTTGGGAGGTTTGAAGTCCAATATGGGTGTCACTTCTTGAGTTTGATTCAAACTGCTGACAAGCCTGTGTTTCTTCTGCAAGCTTTATGGGCCATGCTGTTCACTTCCTTTTTCAGCTTCTATTTATTTGAGAGAGAGAGAAAGAGAACATGAGTAAAGAGGAGGGGCAGAGGGAGAGGGAGAAGCAGGCTCCCCGCCGAGCAGGGAGCCGGATGCGGGGCCCGATCCCAGGACCCCGGGATCATGACCTGAGCCGAAGGCAGACGCTTAACGACTGAGCCACCCAGGCACCAAAAAGTCTGGGTTTTTATGTGGAACGTCCCGATTGTTTTTGACAGATGCTGAGTCCAGTTCTTAAAAATACAACATGGTGTGGGCTACTGCCGCAGATCATATACGATGGGTGTATTCGTTTCCTAGGACTGCTATAACAAATCGCCAGAAATCTGAATGGCTTAAAACAATAGGAATTTATTCTGGCACAGTTACGGAGGCTAGACATCTGAAATCAAGGTGTCAGAGCATGGCCACACTCTCGCTGAAGGCCACAGGGAAGGATCCTTCCTTGCATCTTGTAGCTTCTGGTGGCTTCTGGCAAGCCCTGGAGTGGGGTGGCTTGTGGGCTGCATCACTCCGATCTCTGTCTGCATCATCACATGGTGTTCTCCCTGCGTGTCTGTGTCTGTGTCCAAATCGCCCTCTTCTTCTTCTAAAGATACCAGTCACTGGAGTAGAGCCGACCCTAGTCCAGCATGTCTTCTTCTTAACTCGATTACATTTGCAAAGACCTCCTTTCCAAATAAGATCACCTCCACAGGCACTGGGGGTTATGCCTTGCACATACCTTCTTGGGGGATGAAATTCAGTCCATTACAACAGGTCTTGCTATCCACATGTAGCCATCAGACTTTGATCTTGAGACTTCCGTCTCAAGATGGGACTCAGGAATGGGACATAGGACTGGTGCATCTTGAATGGGCTTTGGTAAAGGTCTGGGATGGGGGTTCATCGCAATGGGCAGTCCCTGGTCAGGGTGCCCTTGAGAGGTGCATCAGGCGTGGTGCGAGCGCTGCCCCAGAGCGGCTGTGGTGACAGTCAGCACGGGTCTGTCTGACCCCAGTAGCCCCCCTGTCCCTGTGCCATGCTCGCCCACGCCCCGTGGTCTGCCTCTGCTTTGGGCCTGTATTACTGATCCGAGCTTGACTCTCAGCCTTTAGTGTGTATAGTTGCAGCTCTGATCCTCTGATTCTCAACTCTGGCTACACTGAGGAAGCCCTTGCAGATGGGGGGAGGGGTCCTTCCTAGTGAATCAGATTACCCCAGGGCTGAGTTGAGCAGATGGAAGACAAAGAGGAAAGGGTTTGCCTCTCTTTGCTGGAAGGCGCGTTTCTTATAGGGTCCTCTCTATCTGTGTCAACCTGTTAAACCTCTCCTGCCCACAACAAAGAGTCCCCTAAGCAGGCTTCTAACTTAATATTTCATGCCAGGTATTTAAAATCTGTCATACTGGTTTTCTTAGTTAATTTATATGGAGGCTGTCACAAATAACCATAAATTTAGTAGCTTAAATAATACAAATTTTGAAACTCCTATAACACTGTATGTTAACTATGCTGGAATTAAAATTAAACACTTAACAAAACAAAATATAACACAAATTTATTATCTTACCGTTCTAGAGGTCCGAAGTCCAAAATGGGTCTAACTGAGCCAAGATCGAGATGTCAGCAGGCCTGCTAGAGGCTCTGGGGGAGAATCTGTTTCCCTGCCTTTTACAGCTTCTGGTGTCCCTGCCCCCCCACCCCCCCACTTCCATCTTCAAAGCCAACGGTAGCAGGTGACACTTTTCTCCCATCACACCCTCTGACTTCCTCTTCTGTCTTCTTCTTCCACATCTCAGGACCCTTGTGATTACATTGGGCCTACCTGGGTAGTCCAGAGTACTCACCCTATTTTAAAGCATTGTCATGTACAGAATTGTTGAATCACTTTGTTGCGCACCTGAAGCTAACATAACGTGGTATGTCACCTATACTTAAATAACACAAATTTTTTAAAAAATGAAAAAATAAAGTCAGCTGATTAGCAACCTTAATTCCCCTTTTCTATGAAGAATAAAATTCACAGGTTCCGGGGGGTAGGGTATGGATATCTCTGTGCGGGGTTGAGGGGGGTACTTTCTTCTGCCTGCCACAGAGACCTATGAGATGGTGGGGGAGGTAGGCCTGGGGTAACCAATTTAATCAAGATCGTATGGGCAATGTGTGGCTGAGAACTGCTCCCTGAGTTTTCTGCCTCTATAACCTTCGGAAGGAACGGAGCAATGAGTTTCCTGGAACACATTTCCCCCTTCTTTATAATCCATAGTTGTATGGCTTCATGGTAACCCTGCTAATTGTCCTCTTTTACCCCTTAGGGTTCTGATTCTTTAGAAAATCAGCATTCATTCCTTTCCCTGAAAAGGAATCTTAAAAGAGCACCTTAGATTTTCCACCAACACTGTCCCGTCCTGGGAGGTGGGGAAGAACCATTGTCAGAAGGACACTTTGTGGAGGGTGCTGGTAGAACAGGTGAAACGGGCCACCTTTTTCAGACCGGAAGTCATTTCCTTGGAGTCAGTGTGACGGTCATTTTGGCAATTTAGACTAGGGCCTTCGTTGTCGAGCATTTTTGTGTTTTATCCATTAGATGAGGCAAGACTGCTTTGACATATTCTCTTCCCACAAAAGAAATCTTGGCATATGCCCTCTATAGTATTATTCTCTGGATTTGATTAGCCAGGGACAAAGAGGCGGTTGTGAGTGGCCTGTGTGTGAGCTGGCCTCTTTTTAGGTTGTGGGGAGGGAGAGGCGGGCTTCTCTTTCTCTCATTCGGCCCTTTCTTAGCTTTCAAAATGACCTGGTTTTCTTAATAAGCATCATTAGAAATACACTTTGTAAAAGAAAGAAGATTCCTGTAAGATCAGTTCAACACAAAGGAATTATCTCAACACTTAAACACTTACACACTGTAAATGATCATAGATGAATCTCTCAGTGGCTTCTTTCTCTAAAAGTTCAAACAGCTGGAGCTATAAATCAGGAATAGAAGATAAAAATGAAAAGGAAGACGAAAGCTACATCTATAAGATGTCAACTTACTGTTATTTCCTCAAGGGATCTTTTTGTTTCATTGCAAAATCACACTGCTAAAACCTGACATATTATCTTACACAAGGCCATGTAAAACATACATAGTGAGAGTGGATGGCCTGGCCTCACTTTTCCATTCCTTAGTTTTAAGCCAATATGATATCTTGAGCCGTAAGAACATAAACATATTTTTTCCCTAACAGGTAGAACTCAGCAATGTTTAAGACAGTGGATATGGAAATGCAGTCTGTAATGATTTCAGGTATGGGATATTCTTGATCATCGTGAATTCTGGAAGGAAAATTTCACGGCAGGATTCTCCCCTTAGGCTGCGTGGATCACTTACAACCCTTGGTCCCTACCTCTTTGGAAGACGCCTTTGGCCACATCGGACACCTCTAGGAGTGTCAACGGGGCCTCACCTTCATTTCCGCGTTGAGTCTAGTGCCCTCTTAGGCTTCATTGGCCCTTTATCTGGCAGGACGGGCAGGGGTGCACTCACCCGCTCAGTGAAATCATCTCCCGAGTAGTCAGGAGTTGAGGTGACGTAAGTGTCCCCAGCAACAAGACAGACGGTGGCCTTCTCAGCAGCTCCTGCCGCCCACAGGATGCCAGCCAGTGCCGCAGCCAGGCCCTGCTCCTGCTCCCGTTTGCTTATTGCACATAAACTGCAACACAGGAGGTTGGGTAGGAAGACAGTGGCGTGAACAGTCACTGAGCTGAATGCGAGGTGCCTCCCCCTTGAAGTCCCCTTCTGCACACCAGGCGGGTCTGTTTGGTTCCTTCCTCAACCTAGCCCATGAGAATGTCACGGGAACTGGTATCCTCACAGATTATTTCTCACCAATGCCCCCCTGTGAGTCATCACCCTCTTGAGTCCCCACCAATGTCCCCTCTCCTGAACTCCAGCAGAGACCGATCCAAATTTTTAACCCAATAACAGGCCCTTTGCAAGTGCGACCCCAAACAATCCTTGCAGTGTTATCTCTCAGTGATATTTTGCAAACCCGATGGCCCACATGGACCAGTGCCCTGAACATACGTTCCACATTCCACCTCCATGCCTTTACTTGTGTCCTGGTGCACCTTTAATGTGCTAGCCTTGTCTGCCCTGCCTGATCCCGTCCGGCCTACGCCTGGCTGGAGGCCCACCTTATGTCGCCCTCACTGACTTGTAGCTTACGTTCACCTGGCACTCACTGCCCCTAGCATTGTTCTAAGTGCTTCATACATGTCACCTCATTTCATCCTCACTTCAACTTTGTGAAGTAGATACTACTGTTCCTCGCATTTTAGGGAGGAAGAAAGAAAGAGAGGTTGAGTAATTGGCCCCCGGTCATTCACCTTGAAAGTGCTTAGAGCAGTGACCTGAAATCAGGCAGCCAGGCCCCCTGACTCCCTGCTCTTCACCATTATGGTCTAGGGAGTAATCCCAGGCTGTCAGGATTTCTCAGGAGGTGGGAGCCAGTCTTTATGTGGTAGACCTTTACTAGGCTGGTTTTCTAAATATTTAACACTGACAGCTGTTGGAGAAACACATGCTAGGGGTTCACGAATGAACTCAGCCATGATTTCTATCTTCCTTCTAGCCCTGTGGCGATACAGAAACAAGTAACAAGGAGTTCCATACTCCAAAACCCTACTCTGAGGAGGTGGATGAGAATAAAACAAAGTGCTATGACAGTAAGGAAGAGGGAGACGGGACTTGTGACCGAGAAGGTTCAGGAAGTCTTCGTGGAGCAGGTCTATGAGAGCGGTTCCTTGTTACCACATGTTTAATATTTGCCGCGCGCCAGGCACTGTGCTAAATGCTTTGTGTATGTAGCAAACGTGCGTGTGTTTCATCTAGATTCCCTGAGGTCCCTTTTACTTAGTTGGTGGACACCTCCCCTGGCTGCTTTGGGGGGCTGCTACCAGCGGCTCCTACTTTTCACCTTTCTCTGAAGAGTTGGAGCCACCTTGCCTGGGAGTGACAAGGAGTGATGCCTGCCTTTCCACGGTTGGCTCAAAGCCGGTGGCTGACTGGGTGGGAAGCACAAAGGCCCCACTTCCTTCTGTGAAGATGGGGCAGCTGAGGTTGCCGAGCTCCCATGGGATCAGACTGAGGCTGGATATCGCTGGAGACCACATTCTTCTGCTTCTCCTTCCCTATCCTGCTTCCCTCGCTCCTACGGGGTCCTCCTGAGGGCCAAAGGGGAGCAAGTCTTGCCACCCAACATATGGCTCTTTTGGCATACTGATTATTTTAAGCTGGTTATTTAAAAACAAACAAACTACAGACTCAAGAGAAGATCTGAAAACTCAGAAGTTAGCCTTTTGTAAAAGACATTTTAAGGGAAAATTCCACTGGTAAGGGTATCTCCCTCCCCGGAGGAGGGGAATGGCTCTCAATCTCTAAAAACTCCTATCAGTAGAGAATGCACTGATGTAAATCTGCATAACCACCTTACCCTTGTTTACTGTGCTTTTCCTGGTAACCTCCCATAATGGACTCCCCACCCCCAACATCTTCTTTGGTCTTTAGCTAAAGATGGTATTTAAGGTGATGCCTTTGGCTGTTCTGGGAGTTACTCAATTTCTCTCAGTCTCTCCCAGGTATACGGGATATATACATGTTATTAAACTTGTGTTTGTTTTTCTCCTGTTAATCTGTCTTATGTCAGGTTAATTATTAGACCAGCCAAAGAAGCTAGAAGGGTAAAATAATTTTTTTCCCTCTCCAACAGGGCATTTGCTTCATAAATCACTTGTATAAAGAATTCCCACCTCTGGCTCTGCTTCTCAGGAAACTGGCAATTCATGATCTTAGAATAAATTATACATTTAGTTCCTGTTTTGAGGGATAACTTATCCTGCTGAGGGCAGATATATACCTTTTACTTGTTTATATTTCTTCTCATACCAAGCATAGAGCTTTGCACATGATGGAGTTTGTTGACTTCTAAGTAAAGTCATTTGAACTGATTTTCTTAAATAGGCAACTACCAAACACTGTACTTTGCCAGCCTGGTTAAATAGGAGAATTAATCCTTCATTTATCAGGGTTTTTTTTTTTTTTTTTTTTTTTAACAGCCCTTTTGTTCCTCCTTAATTGTTAGTCTGGGGTTTCTCATCAAATACTGTCGAGTAAACCCACCTGAGACCAGGGGCGTCACTTCACCTGACAGGACGGTCTGCAGTGGAACATGAAAACTCAGCATTATTCCAGCAACCATTGAGAGTGGCTCCAGGAGAGTCCTCCCCAGCCACAAAGTCCAGTCCTTCCGGGAGAACCAGAGCCATTTTGGTCTCGTGAGGCAAGTCACCTTCCCGAGGCCACCAGGGGATTTTCCCCAGTGACTATTTGGCACGTAAAGGTTCTCATGAAATGGGTAATTCTCTCGAGTAGTTCTAGGCCCCTTACCTGTGAAAGTTACAGTCTTTTCCCTTCCTTGTAAACAACAAGTATTTGATGATGGATCCTTGTACAGCCATCTGAATGCTTCGGGCGCCACCCTGAAACGGGGAAAATGAATAGTGAGGCATGTGAAGGCTGGGAGCAGAGCTTTACAACTGTACTGGAACCCCATGGGGCCAACGGGACAAAGCAGAACCCTTGGAAATGGATGCCATGTATTCTCCGCAGCCCTTTCCCTCCTGGTATATAGCATCCCTCAGCTGAGTGAAGGGACAGCATACTATGTACGTGAGCTGTGGTCAGATGCCATGGCTGGGCTAGAATCTGCAACGACCACCTTCTTTGGGGAGCCCTGTAGACTGGCACCTGGGGGCATGCGGCCTCCTCCACCCCGCCTCCGCCATGCTCCTGCTTCCTATCCAACTTTTGGATTTGGAAGATGTCAGGAAATTGTTGGCTAGTCCTTGAAATTCTTTGTTACTGGTAATTGATGACATGAATTACTGAGATTTTATGTAAGCCATGAAGAACCTCCTGGATCTCCTCCTGCCTTCACATCCTCAGGGATACTAAGAACTTGGAGAGAAGAGCCAGGAAAACTAGAATTGGGGAGGGCAGTGTGTATGGGGGCGGGGTTTGGGGCTTTGCTACAATCCTGACAGTGAGTTATAGTTTTAAACAGCCTCTTACCATTTAAGGTTAAATTTTAAATTATATGAAATATGCTTCTACAAATGATTATAATGAAAACATATGCTTATGGATGAGAATGGAAGGAGGAGATATGGACAGGGAATATGGGATTAGAATATTTAAAAATTGTTGCCTACTATTACCTTTTCTACTTCCAAAGCAAAAGCCAGGTCAGAAAAAGGATCATGGAACCTGAAATAGGCCTTTTTCCAGTCATAGCTGAAGACATGGATGGCATTTCCAAAGAGGCTCTGCCGTAACTTCTAAGAGGGGAAATAAAGGATTCAAACAAAGATAATTCTTCTTAGACACATTGCTCATCAAACGGCCGTAAGTAAGGCGCTAAATTTGTGGAGGTAGGCCTGTCCCCTTCCTACATTCTGGTTTACATTTTACCTTATTCCTCTATCATAACTGTAGAGTCTTGTGCAAAGGAGTTACACCAGGTTCACTTAGACTATTTTTTTAAAGATTTTATTTATTTATTTGAGAGAGAGAGAGAGAGAACAATGGGGGGAGGAGCAGAGGGAGAGGGAAAAGCAGACTCCCTGCTGGGCATGGGGCTCGATCCCAGGACCTTGAGATCATGACCTGAGCCGAAGTTGGACGCTTAGCCAACTGAGCCACCCAGGGGCCCCTAGACTATTTTATGCTGAAGGCTCAGTGTGTCAACTTTGTACCCCGTTGTCCCCATCTGATGTTTGTCCCTTGTGTCTGTCTCACCTTCCATCGCCAGCCGTCTCTCCTTTATGCCTCGCAGTCCACCATGGGCTGCCGCTCTGCCTCCCTGCCTCTCGTCCCCATCTATATCCATGACTCTGCAGCTCCTGCCTCTGCCATCTTTGGGTCTTTCTCTCTTGCTCCAGGAACAAGAAACAGACAAGTCTCTATGTTTCTAGCTTGAGTACAACATTGATTTAAATGATACTAAACAAGCATTCTCTGTTCTCTTGCCCCAGAATCTTTAAGGTTTTCCTGGATACTCTATAGCATGTTGAGATTGGAGAGGGTCTTCTAGAGCTTCCCAGAAAAAAATAAGCCTTTATAAACCAAACACATCAAAAAAAGGGGAATGCATTCGTAAACAAGGACATATTCATTGTTTAGCATGTGCTTGGTCCTAGGTGGGATATAGATATGTAAAAACTATGTACAAGATAGAATGTGTGAAGTTCTGTAAGTATGAAGTAGCTGGAGAGAACAGAGGAAGGAGAACTTCTGACTGGAATACTCAAGAAGGCTGCATGGAAGATGTGGCATTTGAACTGGGCTGGCAAGTGGCATCTAGCATTTATTGAGCATTTTCTATGCACCAGGCACTGGCCTAAGTGCTTTATGTTCATTACGTTAATTTAATTCTTTGACCAAGAAGTATTTGACTAAATCACCCAGCTGGTACAAACAGCTGGGCTTCACGTCCATTCCAACATCACTGCTCTGCCTCGCCGGCTTTAAGTAGGTGTCATCCTATGATTGCTGTCCTTTTTGCATGCCAATCATTATTGAATTAATATCTTTCATTAGCTTGAGCTACTCTTATAACTAACTCAGGAAATATCTATGTAATAAGGACACTTCATATCACATCTTTAAGTGGGAATCAAAATCATTTGTCTATATAGAAAAAATGGAAATAAAACAATGTTATTGACTTATGCTAGAAACTGTTGCCTACGAAAGCTTTGCCTGAGCTCACGATCTTTTTAGTTAAAAAAGGGGGCACCTGGGTGGCTCAGTTGGTTAAGTGACTGCCTTCGGCTCAGATCATGATCCTGGAGTCCCGGGATCGAGTCCCGCATCGGGCTCCCTGCTCAGTGGGGAGTCTGCTTCTCCCTCTGACCCTCCTCCCTCTCATGCTCTCTCTCTACCATTCTCTCTCTCTCTCAATAAATAAATAAAAATCTTTAAAAAAAAAGGAAGTAGGAAGTATTAAAGAGGTGTCGACATGTGTACCCCTTACAGAGTGTTTCTCCAGGGTCTGTGGAGTGAAGAAGGAGCTAACTTTCCCACGAGGTGACCCAGTCTATTTAATATGTTACTTAATGACATATCCCTAAAAGCACTCATGCTCCAGCAGAGGCACGTATCCCACACCGTGGGACAGACCGCACAGTGGCCTGTTGCCTATAATGGAGGGGAGGCTAGACAAAGAAGATCTGCAAACACACACACACACACACACACACACACACACACACACACACACACACAGGCTCGCCCGCACGCACACGCATGCACATGCATGCGCAGAGTAGTCAGAGCATCCAGGGACAAGGAGTGGTTCAGCAGAACCAGGAGACGGTGTGGTGTGTGCATGTGTATGCATGTATGTGTGTGTGTGTTCCAGAACCACGGGGCAGGAAGTCTATGGAAGTTGAGACTGGAAAGTACCCTAGGGCTGATCCTGGAAGCCTTGAATATCACATTCACGCATTCAAAGCCAGCTGAAGAGTGTGGACAAAAAGAACAGGCAGCCATTAGGTCCAGAACCTAATGGTTTCTAAGAAGGACAGATGCAGGAGAAGCCTACATGTGGAATGGTCTTCCCCTTGTTGGACCAGGGTCCAGTTCTGGGGCTGGAGTTTATTTCCTGGCTATCTCTGCTCCCACCGTCAAAAGATTGCCTCTACAAAGAAATAGAGGCAGGTGCATTTCAGCCTGAGCAAGGGCCCAGGAGTGCACTTGAAGAAAAATAATTTGTCGGGCGCCTGGGTGGCTCAGATGGTTAAGCGTCTACCTTCGGCTCAGGTCATGATCCCAGGGTCCTGGGATCAAGTCCCGCATTGGGCTCCTTGCTCAGCGGGGAGTCTGCTTCTCCCTCTTCCTCTGGCTCTCCCCCTGCTCGTTCTCTCTCTGTCTCTCTTGCAAATGAATAAATAAAATCTTAAAAAAAAAGAAAAATAATTTGTCTGGTGTCTCAGGGCAACAGCAAGTCAAGGAGAGAGGGCTGCAGGGCATAGAGACTGCTCTTAGAAGACAAAGACTCAGTGTATCCCATGGCCAATGAGCCACCAACCCAGGACATCCCCAGGAGAGGACTGACAATGAATCCAAGTGTTTCCCTGACACCAGGGCAGCATGAGAAAGACTGAGCCCTCCCCACTCCAGGCTTGAGAAGCCCACTTCTGCGCCGCACTGACCACACGCACTTGGACAGACTGCCCATCCTTGCTAAGATTTTATTTGCTTATCCTGAGATGCGGATAACCCTTGCTCGGTCCACATCGGGGCTATTGTTGAAAGGGAAGAAGTATGAACAAGGGCTTTAGGAACCACCGTGTGTGCTGAGTAAATGCAGGGTGTTATTACCTTTGTGAACACACAGCCTATCTCCGCTGGAACGCCATAGGGAAGGAAGTCCCCCCACAGATGGGAAAAGAGCAGAGCCTGGCAGGGGAGGGGAGGGGAAGCCAGGTATAAATGTGAGAGAGTAAGACTGTTGACACTAAGAAGGCTTGGAATTCAAATTCAATCACTAAAACTCTGCAAGCCAAACCAAACCCTGTTTCTGTTGCCGGGTACCACTTCCAACTTAGGGAGCATCCCCGTCCAGATACACCTCGGGCAGGCCGCGAACGGAGGAGCTGCGGGCCGCTCAGACCAGACCCACTGGCCTGCAGCACAGGCAAGGTGACTCATCTTGCCTATATAACGGTTCCCTTCATATCAAATATAACTTATCACAAGATTAGCCTGGTATATTCACTGATAGGCATAAGTCATTGTGCTGCCTCGTAACTAGACACAAATATGGTAAATGGTCCTAATAAATGACTCTAATGATCATTATTATTTAACACAATCAAGCACGGTTTATAGTTTTTCTCTTTTCACTTTGTTAATTTTCGAGGATTTGTAATGAATACCTCTCTTTCCTGATTGCTATGATGATGATAATGATGATGAACATTATCTCACATGTTCTCACACACACATACACACACTCATGCACTCACACTCACATACACACTCCCACACATGCACACGTTCACACACTCATGCAGAAGAACACAGAGGTCCTGGATCGTTCTTCCAGACCCATGTAATTTCCTTGCCCTGACTGCCTTGTGTCTGGTCCCTGGGCTTAGATTTTCCCTGTGACAACCTTGCCTGTTCAGATGGGAGCATCTCCATGCCTGCCCCCACCCCCAATATGAGGTAGAATAACCATTTTTGAAGCTTTTTCTCTAAATCTTTTCTTGCCTTAGATATTACCAGCTCATCACGGAATTAGAGAATTTTAGAATTAGCGAGTCCTAAGAAACATTGTTCTCCTAGCCTGTCAAATAGAGTGGTAGACTCTTGACTTGATCACCTTCACCATGGATTCCTCAGCATCTGGTGCAGAGACTGGTACATAACGGGTTCGCAATAAGCATTTGCTGAATTTAGAAAAAAAAAATCTAATTTGGCCCTTTCCTTTTACAATTAAAAGATTTGGGGGGCAAAGCAGTTACGTGTATGCCCAAGGCCAGGTATTTTGTAAATGGCAGCTCCAGGACCCCAGTGCAAACCTTCCAACTTGTACCAGTAAGAGTCCCAGCAGGAAACAGATGATGCACGAAGTCAGGATGATTAACTCGAGGAAAGTTTAAGACAGGGATGATCTACAGAAATGTGGGCTGCATGTGGGGAAACCACAGCGGCTGATGCAGGGTCCCACAGCTAGCAACACTATCTGCCCTAGACCTGAAGGGGGTGGGGGAGGAGAGTGATCTGAACCAGGAAGGAGAAAGTCCCAGAGAGAGAACTGCCAGAAGAGAAGAGGGATTCAGCTGGCTACACAGAACCTGGCTTCTTTCCCTTTCCTCCCTCCAGGCTCCCTCCGGGGCTCCCATTGGTCAAACTCAATAGGAAGCCAGAAGAGGAGGGAGCCCTGTTGATAGAGTCCCTCCCAGGTCAGTTTTGGCAGAAAGTAGGGTGGAGAAGGGTAGAGAGTGCCCCTGAGGGGCACACGGATGATACTTGCTGCCCCATACTGAGATGCCTCTCTGGGGGATGGTCCAGAACAGTGAATTAATCAAGCAAACATCCACTGAGGTCCGTCTATTGACCAGACCTTATGCTGGGGCACCAGGCTGTGCTTCTCACTTCCAAAAAGCCACCCCCTTGCCTGTTATCCTCCATGAAAGCTTCATTCATCTGAGTCTCTGCCAGAATATTTTGATCTCCCAGTCTTACATTTTTAATATGATCCTGCTAGGTGGTATTACAAACACACCAGGGGTTGGTTTATTGGCTGCTGATAAAAGAGGCTATAGGAATGTGTTCCAGGCTGGGTTCTGGAGAAGGGCCTGGTTGTGGGGAAGGATGGGAAAGTGCCCTGGAGGGAAGCAGGCAGTTTTGGGGGCAGGGGCAGAGAGGTGCTGGCCGAAGAGCACAGAGAAGGATGCTCACTTCCTCTACAATCTTACCTGGGCCGGCAGCCTTGGCCATCAGTCATTACACCTCATTCACTGTAAGATGATTCAACTGGGGGAAGGAAGAAGGCTGTTGTATTGGAAATGAGTCAAAGTGTGGAGAGAGCCCTTCAACAGACAAATGGATAAAGAAGATGTGGTCCATATATACAGTGGAATATTACTCAGCCATCAGAAAGGATGAATACCCATCTTTTGCACCAACATGGATGGGACTGGAAGAGATTAGGTTAAGAGAAATAAGTCAAGCAGAGAAAGCCAATTATCATATGGTTCCACTTATTTGTGGAACATAAGGAATAGTATGGAGGACATAGGAGAAGGAAGGGAAAAATGAAGGCGGGGAAATCAGAGGGGGAGATGAACGATGAGAGACTATGGACTCCAAGAAACAAACTGAGGGTTTTAGAGGGGAGGGGCGTGGGGGGGTGGGTTAGCCCAGTGGAGGGCAAGTACTGCATGGAGCACTGGGTGTTACACATGAACAATGAATCATGGATCACTGAATCAAAATCTAATGATGTACTGTATGGTGACTAACATAATAAAAAAAAAGAAATGAGTCAACAAAAGGTGAGAAACAGGAATGCTGGGGAGAGAGAAGTTTCACCCCCCCCCTTCTCAGCAGATTCCCAGCAAAGAGTGTGTGCCAAAGTCAGGAAATCCCAGGCATCCCTACCCCAAACAGAGGAGGGAAAAGAGAACGGCAGAATGACAACAAAAGGCACTCTCGAGTGAGTATTAGGATTCAGTAGCTCTGATAATTTGCCGGGCGGCTGCACTGTCCAAACGTGGATTAGAATTGGTCAAGCTTCCAAACCACCTCCCTGGAATACATGTATTCAGAATCCCAAGGCTCAGCATCTCGAAATCCCAGGGTGTGTTTAATTAATGCTATTGCTATTTAAAGGACACACTATCATCTGGCCCACATAATGGGAATAAATCCAAATTCTTTTTTTTTTCCCAAGAAAAAAATCAATTATCTGCACTTCTGGGACTTCCTTAACACTCCATCAACTCTGGTTCAGGCTAGAGTGGTCTGATTCTTTTGTCCCCCAGGATTTTCCAAAGGGAGAGAATTACCTTGGAAAAGTCATGGGGGAGGTCTGCAATCACACCACATTTGTGTTTGTAGATAAGTGGGGGAATTCAGACCCAGGCTCTCTTGCTTCCACAATATAAAGAGAGACTAGAAGACTTTGGAAACATCTGTGAATGCATCTGTGATTTTTTTTTCTGTTTTTAAAATTTCTATGTGTGTTTTTAAAAATAGATTGCACATTCACATGGTTCCAAATCCAGAGAGTACAAAAAGGTACACTCAGAGAAGACTCCCTCCCTCCCGTGTCTCCTACCCTACTCTTTCCCTCCACTGTTACATTCCACAATTGCTTGTGGAAGTTCTGTAAGCATATACAGGCAAATACTGATATAGATCCATGGTCTTTCTCTTTTTTCATAGGAAAGGTAGTCTAATTTCCAGATATGTGTAAATTCTAAAATGACGGTCTCCATAGAAATTCATTACAGAGCCAGGAAGACATTCTTATTAAAGATGCTTTTGTTAAAAACATTATCTTGTCCAGTAAAATACAGAGAGTTACTCTAACTTATGGTTCCATGGCACAGCAGAGGCAGAATAATCACTGAGGCTGGAGACTCGAGCAGGAGCCCACGTTCATTGCCTGTCTTCATTCCCTGAAAGGCAAGCCACTTGTTAAGGCACCATCCAGGGGCTGAGAGGCCCATGAGCAAGCGCATCATCTCATGAGAGCCCGGCTGACCTATCTTCCTGTGACATCCGGCCTTCGAGCAAAAGAGGGAAGGTGGATTGAGGCAGAAAGATTTGTGATAACGAGAAAGGACAGTGGGCCTCCCAGTCCATTTGTACTGCAAATATGACAGGAAAGAGAGGTGCTCTATGAAGCCAGTGAGGACATGTCTGATAAAAAAGAACATGGGGGCTTGGTCCCTATACATGATGATGTTCCATCTGAGGACCGTAAAGAAAGGCGATATTCAGGGTTGGAAGTACTGCAGTCAGGGCCAACTCAAAAAGCCGGTGGAGACTGGACGGTTTCCCCAGCAGGGGTTCCAAGCCCCACTCATCCCCCTCAGCAGGAACCCCGTGTGCAGTGCACGGACTGTGGAACTATATGTACACGACAGGCCTCCTACGGGGCAAGTGTTACTGGTTTTCGCCCAGGTGACCAATCTGGTCCTGGGTGCTTTCTGCAAGCTTGCCCAGGTGTAGGGCAGCGTGCCCTTAGGAAGGAAGTGCTTCTTCTAATTCTTGTTCTTGGGGCCCCCAGGAAAAGTCTCTGCCTGGGGCTCCAGGATACAGTGTGCAAGTTAAATTGTCAGGGTGAAGGTCCTGAGAAGAAATTGTCCCGAATCTCACTATGATTGAGAAAACTATCTTGGAGGCAATCCAGTTGAAGGGATCTCTCACGCTAGCTGGTCCTTTTCCCCTGGCTTGACCCAGGGCTTAGCTTCCCCAGTTCCCAATCAGGCCTCGTTGACCTTGACAGCTGGGCCTTTGGTCCATTGCCAAGGCATTGGCTCCAGCCCTGGCTTGTTTGCTAGTTCACCTCCTTGCTGGGTCTCTGCCGTAGCCCTTTGCCCCAACCCATCCAGTTTGGAATTGAGCAAATGGTCCCCAGAACCCGGAGCTTCCAGATCCACTTGAATCCTCACTGTCAGGTTCTTTTCAAATCTGCCTGTTAGTTGGCAACCCCAGGAAAGCATTTCCTAAGATCAGCTCCTTGCCCCAGCACCAGGCCCGGCACAGGTGCCCCACCTCCCCCACCACCTGCCCGCGAGGACAGGGCCCTGCCTCACACAGCGACATGGCTTTCAGCGCGGTGGTTGGCAGCACTCGTCACCTGCCCTGTCTCACCTTATAAAGTGATTTATTTGAATTCAACTCCCTCACTCCCCCAAAGTTAATTGGCAGACCAAGGAAGTGACTAGAGACTCTCCGAGTTTGGGAGGAAAAGATTATATCGTCACCGATGTCCTTGAAAAATACCATAAATAAGTCATTTTAATTATATTCTCCTTTTGCCAATCACAACCGTCTGTAGTCTTGTCTTCAATAATACTCTCATATGACAGCAGATAAAATTCCCCAGCCTTGTTGTTTGGGGAAGATTACGTTTCCTTTCATGTTTAATTGACAAGCTATACTTACCGTGGCCATTGCCAGGGAGATAG